TTTTTTTTTTTTTTTTTTTTTTTTTTTTTTTTTTTTTTTTTTTTTTTTTACCCCCTCAATCACTGTTAATGCTGTTATACTGTTTATACATACATTTTATAGTCTATTTATACATACCCTCTGTACACTTGTAAATGCATATTTATATCCTGTATAGCACTTCTGGATAGATGCTAACTGCATTTTGTTGCTTGTACTTGTGACAGTGCAATGACAATAAAGTTGAATTCTATTCTATTCTAAAAGGTAAGTGTAAATGGGATTTATGTCAAAAAAATGTAATTCCTTCAGACATTAGACAAACCGACTGATGTTCATGTGTTTTTCCTGTTTATGTCTCAATAACAATCAGTCAGAGACAGCGTGAACAAGTCAACAAGCCCAGCAACAATAAGGCGTTATTCTTATTTAGGTTTCTGCATGTTTAATTTCACCTGATCTAGCACTCCGTAACAGGCAGGAAGGCTGCTGGTGTTGATCAGCTGCACATTCTGTTCATAGGGAAGATCCAGGTAACATCTTCCAAAATCCAAACACACAGGCTCTACCCTCAGCTCTGGAACAACACACCTATCGACAGAGAACAGAGATGAGGAAGGCGGAGAAAAGAGCAGGATTTATCTGGAATCAGAACAATGTTTGCACTTGTAGTTGCCAAAATAAAATAAAATAAAAATCAGCTTTGAATTAATGGATAAAACTAAGAAAAGGTTATTTTAAAACACTGATATTATATAATGTGTAGCATTATTGTACAACTGATAATTTTTTGTATAAGCTCATATTTTCACTGTGTTACTGAAAGCAACACCCCCTGTAGGTCTGTTAGTTCTAAAGACAAAAGGAACAGAAACCTCCTTCTGCAGCAGCTTTCAAATAAAAGATGAATGAAAAACAGGCTAAGTAATAACTTTAAGACAGAAAATCATTACAGGCGGGTGATGATAATGAAGACGACACACTGCAACAGCTTCTAACAGCGCGATTTAATTGAGCTTATTTCTATAGCGCAAATTCATAACACATGTCATCTCAAGGCACTTTACAATTCAACCAGATCATCCAGTCAAATTGATTCGAGTTTTTTTTTTCTAAGGAAAACCAGCTGATTGCATCGGTTCATTGACCCAAAGGCAATCCCTCACACTAAACAAACTTGTAGCAACAGCGGAGAGGATAATCGCAGTTTTAACAGGAAGAAACCTTCAACAGAGGATGGCCGTTCAGTGGCGCAGTGGGTAGCACTGCTGCCTTGCAGCAAGAGGGTTCTGGGTTCGATTACGGGCCTCTGTCTGCATGGAGTTTGCATGATCTCCCTGAGAATGGATGGGTTCCCTCTGGGTACTCCGTCTTCTTTCCACAGTCCGAAAACATGACTGTTAGGTTAATTGGCTTCTCTAAATTCTCCTTAGGTGTGAGTGTGTGCATGAATGGTTATTTGTCTCTGTGTTGCCCTGCGATGGTATTTATGCCCTTCAGGTTGACCGTTCAGACACAGGTCGCATCTTTAAAAAGATCAGATGCATATTGGATTCAGGACCACAGAGCCAAGCAGCCTGTGTCGCATTGGAAAAAATTGGATCTGTGTTGTTCAGACTGTCATGAAAAGATCAGATACAGGTTGCATATGGGCAAAAAAATTTGGATTTGAGTGACTTCAGGCTGCAGTGTGAACGTAGCCTAAAGCTACTGCCACACCTTGACAATTTAGCCAGTGTGTGCCTTACGTACAGAAAAATCTGGCAAAACCGCTGGCATAAGTTATGAGCACGTAAAGCAAGCAGAAACATGCTGGCACACGTTGACATACAACTTTCTGTATACACTAGCACCTATTTAAGATCTTGTCCTTATATTACTTATACAAATGATGATAAATATTTACATTTATACAATTTGGTATAAAGTTAGACACAATGAATTTGCGTATTTAAGACTTCAATCTTTCTGCTGTGAGGATGTCCTACCTGGCATTGATCGGCAAAATGCTGACTTCCTTTCCGACTCCTTCAACATCTACTGCCAGCGCTAGTTCATATTTCTTCACTTTGTTGGAGCAAAGAGTCACCTGGACAAGGAAAAAAAAGGTTTCACAGCTTTTCACAGCAAAAAGGTCCTGCAGCGCGTTTTGAGCAGCAGGAACAGCGCCTCATGAGCTCCTGAGCATCTGAGGCGCTTCAGAAGCACAGCTGCTGGAGTTGGAAAAACTGAACCTTTGATGCCACATCAACCAATCAGAGAAGCTGATCTTGGAGCTGGCAGGGAGACAGACACAGCACTGCTGATGCAGATCGCTATGATCACTCTTCAGAAACAGTTTATTAATGCCTAAATTAACTTAAAATGTCAAAACCCGCCGGCAAAATATGTTCGCTTTTATTATTCTGGTGCCTGCAGTTTGGATAACGTACGGGAAAAACGCTAACATCTACTTTAAGCCGCCGCGAACAGTGCCAGAAAACCGCAGAGGCAATAAGGCCAGAGGCTGCTGTTGAACAGGATTCCCAGTGGCAGAGCAATAATATTTGAAGGCAGTATGGTAATCTAGATGAACTGACTGCACAGACAAAGATTTCAGGTGGACTTTCTCACTTAAAAACATTTTAAAACAACTTTTTACCCACTGATCACAACAAATATATCTGCCCTTGTTACAGGCAAAGAAAGGAGAGGGTAGCTCCACCCAATGCTCATTTGACCCACATTTTAGACCGCGCAGCCAGAGCAGCAAAGATGCTTCAGCTGCGTGTCAGAACTAAACTTTTACAAGCACAAGCAGGACGCACGTTTTTGCTGCTCCTGCTGCATGCGGTGGTCTGTTGGTGGTCAGAAGCCCTGCTTGCTCTGATTGGATGACAGCCTATTTTCTGTTAGTTTGCCATGTGACTAAAAAACAGCTCACCACCATCAATCGTGACGAATGGGTGGATTTAGCGTAAAGTGCTTTGGGGTCCTTGTTGATAACTTTACTACTGCAGAGCATTTACCATTTCATCCAAAATAAAATAAAATACTTAGAGGCATTTTGGATAATTTATTTTGACTCATTAATTGATACTAATAGTAAATGCTGTAAAGTATTACAAAAACAGTAAACTATTACATATAAACAGTGCCTTTCTGATGGAGTCATAACCTTGTATTCTATGTATTCAGTGAATCTGAAATTGATTTAGATTTTTTTATGTTTAATCCATTTTAAGGGGGGAAAAAAAGAGCTCATTCTGACCACTTTTCTTCCCCTGTTTTTTTGAGACTGGTGTTTAGATGCAGCATACGCATCATTAGCAGTGTGCTGTGATTTGCTCACCATAATTTCCAGTGTCTTTACACAGCGGATATAAAGTTACACGGGCAGAAGCACTGAATGACAGTCTGGAGGTGAGTCTTGAAATGTTCAAATTCCCTGGTTTGTTTAAATAGAAAAAAAAAGGTGCTTTGTGGAGAGTGCACTCTTGTCAACATTTCAGGTTAGCGCAACATGAAAAGATCAATTAGATATAGGGCTGCAACTAACGATTATTTTGCAAATTGATCTATCAATTATTTTTTTGATTAAGTAATTGATATTGGATAGCCAAAGGTTTCTTAAAAAAGATTTTTTACTGATTCAAACCAGGTGAAACTAGAACGCTTCCAATTGAGGAGTTCTGGATAGAGCAGATTGGCAGACGAAAATGTTTTTTTACAAATTTGATATAATTACTGCTCCAAATGGGTCGATCTGTCAGGTACAAGCATGTTTTACAGTCTCTCTACTAACAATTAATTAATTAATTAATTAGGTGACGATTATTTCAATAACAATTAATCAAGATTAATCTGATTAAATGTTACTGCCCTAATTGAATCCCAACACACACATTGTAACGGGTGACGATTCAATTCAATTCAATTTCAGTTCAGTTTATATTTATTTCACCAATTCACAACACATGTCACCTCAAGGCACTTTACAGAGACAATTCAACCATATCATACAGTCAAACTTCTTAAATTAGTGTAGATTATGTATTGATCTCTCCAGATTAGAACTTAATTTACACAGATGACTTCAACACCTGATATTAGAAACAATTCTCAGAGCTGTAACTCCTCCCCACCAGCCCAGCATCTCCAACCCGAACTAAGTCGCAATGACGGTACCTTGATGGTGACATTAGACATGGCGTCCACAGTACCAGCTTCAGGGTGGACTGTGAACTCCACCGGCCGGAGGTGGGCATGTCTGGCTGCATACCCCTGCCAATTCTTTCGGGATAAATCAGACACCTGCTTGGCACTGCTGACACTGGGGGATCCCGTCCCATCCCCCATGACGTGTAAAGAAAAGGTCATAGGAACAAAGGATGTGTTGAAGAGGGTACACGTCTGTGTGGTTGGAAAACCTAAAGTAGAAACAGTATATAAAACATGTAAGAATAAGATGAAAAGAGGGAACGAAACTGTTCTGATTTTCAAGATGGAAATAAAAGCAAATGGAATTATATTACTCACCAAAAGCTACATCGCCAAAATTGAGATCTAATACATTAAAGTGGTGCGAGGGGACAACCACACAACCCCTAAAGCAAAAAAAAAAATAAAGAAACATGAAGGCAACCTTTCAGTCACTGTCAATAGTACATAAATACGAAGGGCTCTTTATGCAACTGAAAGAAACAACAAATGTGATGACATTTAAAAGTTTGCTGACATGTCATCCTTACCTGAAGGTCAGGGTTAGAGTCTCAGGCTGCCCCGTGACAGTTAAAAGCAAATCCTCAGAAAAACTTCCCAGGGTCAGACTGTGGAAGGTGACTTCTACCGTCTGGCAGAACCCAGGAGAAACAACACCTTCTTTTGGACTGATGGAAAAACATCGGCCAAATGTGGTGTCAGGGCAGGAAAATCTGAATGGGGCGTCAATCAGTCCTTTGTTTGTAATCTGCACCTAAAACACAAAGTATTTTATTTCCGTAAGCAGCATCAGGTATGAGTGAAATTATGTTTTACATGAAGCTATTGATGCATCATCCAAACAGTGAACTTAAATACAGAGGTTAGCATTTTGGGAACAAGTGTCATGTCTTATCAAACTGAATTTAAATCTGAACTTTGATTGGGACATTCTGACACATGCAAACTTTGATCTAAACCATTCATTTTTAGCTCTGGTTGTATGTCAACTGTAGCTGTGCTTAAACATGATCCGTACTATTTGCAGACTTTAGAGGTTGTTCCTTCATGCTGGATGTTCAGCTCCATCTATTGCCCCATATACTCTGATCAGCTTTAATTTTACTGCGTCAATGTCCCATATTTCTTTGACCTAAACACTTTAGTGTTGGTTTCAGTGTTGCACTACCCTCGACATGTTTGCTGTCCTTCTAGCAGCTTTCACTCTTAGCCTCTTTCTTGACTAGATCTATGCAGTGAATCTCTATATTAGCAAGTCAAACCATTCCTGAGTTGAAAATCTTTGCATTTGGCTGCTTCTCTAATGATTGCTTTCCTTGACTGGTCGGTCAGTTTTTCTTAACAGGTCAAAGAAAGCTGCTGCTCTCCTAGAAGTCACTTTGTAGCAAAGGTTTTATTTTATCTTATTTTTACGTGAGAATTGTTTTATGTATTTTTTTATTTTCTTATTTTGGTTTATTTGAAATTGATTGCAAGTAAAAATGAGAAAATATTTGGTGTTTCTTTATAGTCATCAGTGTAGAAAGAATAAATGGTGCGACATTTGTTCTATGGTGTTTTTCAGTAGTAAATGAAAATGATCCCTAATAGCTGGATGCAAGTACCTCAAATAGAGGCAGGAGCAGGTGGTTCAGATGAGCGGTAATGAGCAACCAGGCAGAGTTAGACAGGTGAATGGAATGAGCAATTAAGCCAGCCATCACTGCCAAGATCATGAGTTTTAAGCTGATCCGTAGTTCTTACCTCATAATGGTCTTTGTCGCCTATAAACACATCTTTCATGTCCATTATGTTAAAGTTGAGCTTGAGTTTGGGACCAAGGCCTTCACCTTTGATCCGAAGGGGTAACGGTGATTCACTGCCTATTCGGAGGGACAACAACATGGAAGAGAACATAACCAGATTACCTTGTTTGTTCAAACAGTGACGATGTTAACACAAGAAACATCAGAGCCCCAAGTTTAAATACAGATGTAGATCTTGTGTCTGTAGGAGTGATGCGTTTTTTTTTTTTTTTTTCACCTTTTTTGTTTGTTAAATAGAGGAATTTGTTTATTCATTTGGTGGAGTTTAATTAGTTGAAATTGTTTGTTTTAATGACAAAAATAAATACATCTGTTTTAGCTGTATTATAGCACAGTGGGAGAATATCTCTATTCTCCCACTTAGATTGACTTAACAGATTCTGTTAAGTCAATCTCTAACGTTATGCTCTTTCTGCTTTTTCCCATAGTAGCTTCATCTGGTCTGTTCCTGTTTGGCTGTGACACCATCCTGGAGAGAAATATCATATGTGCTGCTGCCATCAACACCTATGTTTTTAGATGTTGGAGCTGGACCTGTTTTTCAGTGTAGTCCTGTTTCTCTGACTGTGACAGGCTGGGAGCTGGCTTGGAGCTCGTCTGCCTGGCTTTGTGTTTCCAGGATGGGGCCGCCTGTGGAGCTGGTCGACAAGTTCCTTTTATATCTATGCTTCTTTTTGTATCTCTGCTTCTGTCTCCTTGAACCCCAGTCGGCCTCGGCAGATGGCCGCTCACACTGAGCCTGGTTCTGCTGGAGGTTTCTTCTTGTTAAAAGGTAGTTTTTCCTCTCCACTGTTGCTACAAGCATGCTTAGTGTGAGGGATTGCCTTTTAGTCAATGAGTCGATGCAATCAACTGGTTTTCCTTAGATAGAAAACTTTTAATCAATCTGACTCTATGAGCTGGTTGAATTGAAAAGTGAACTGTAAAGTGCCTTGAGATGATGTGTTGTGAATTGGCCCTATATAAATGAACGGAATTATTCACCCTGCGACAGACTGGCGACCTGTACAGGGTTTACCCCTCCTCTCGAGCATGGATGGATGGATGGATGGTTAATATTCAGATAGTTTCCTTTTGTTTGTTGTTTCCTGCATTAGCTCTCTCTGAAGTCATATTAACATTTATTTCAAAAATGCCCTTTTTTAAATAAATAACATCATAAAATGTTCAACTTTGTGTGTTGGCAGCCTGGGATCTAAAGGGGATGGATCTTTCATGTTATGATGTGACCATCCATAGACAGGTTGTAACAGTACTTATTCTAAGTTTGTAGAAAAAGTATATGAAATAATTTTTTTATTTTATTTTTTTTTTTCAAAAACTATAAACAGTTACATTTGTTGTTGTAGGCTTGATTGCTAATAGCCGTTAAATTGAAAAAGATCTTACTGTTGTTTTTTAATATAAAACTAAGGTGTGACATTATTCCCAGCTTTAGCCTTTCCAGACAAATCTGAGCATAAGTTAAAGTTAAAACATCTGCCTATGAGCCTATCACCTAAATAATTTGCTTAATCTAATAAAATACAGAGAGACAAAAGAAATCATATAAAAAACATTTGCAAGACTGAGTAGGTAGTATTACCTAAATAAATTAACATGAAAATTCCATCGATTTATTACAAAAATAAAAGAATATGCAGGATTCACTTACCTGTAACATCACAGTAAAGAGTGTGTTGATAAACTTTTGCCTCTTCTGGTTTGAAAATAATGTTGAAGGTTGCAGTAGTTTTAGGCCAAATCTCTCCCTCCTGAAGCACAGATTATTATTTTAGTTAAACAATTAGCAGAACAACAACGACTGAGAAATAAATAAAAACAAATTAGAAAAGGAAAACAACAGTGCTGCAGAATAAGATTCCTTTTCTGTCTGGTAATTGGTTTGACTGTTAGCAGAGTTTCGGTCTTTTGGACAGATAGAATACTGAACAACGGAGTTCTCTGTTAGGATTTGGCCTCAGCCTCTTAGTTCAAGTGATATTAAGGTTTAAAGTTAGAGGATTCATATTAATAAACCTCTTTATTTCACAAAACAAATTCATCCATTCAAATAAAAATGTGGGCTCTGCCTTTAAACAATTGCTTTGGTGAGCTGGCACCAAATTGCATTCTGGGGTTTCGGCTGTTAGATTTAGGCTGGTTCTCAATATGTGTGCTTGTGCGTTCTCGTGCTTGTGTACACATGAAATGTCATCGGCCTCAGCCGTAGATCTGTTCCAGTTCATAAGAACTGCAGGCCGAGAACGGACAAAGACCCCCGGATGTTGATCTCGACCCTACCTATTTACCCAGCATGCATCAGAGCAGACTTGTCCATTCTTGAGATTGACAGCTGTCCCAGCATGCACTGCGGCAGCAGCAGCTTCCAGGTTAGCGCTCACAGAGCTCAGAGTATTAAGTTAAAAGTTCTCTTTTCTGTTGCCATTGTTCTATAAAAGTAAGTTTTAAGATAATTTAAGGTGAGAACATTGTACTTTAAAGTACAGTAGTAGGGAAGTCATATTTCAGCTTCAAATCATTCTGGCTTAAACATGTATATAAATGTACTCTTTATTGTTAAAAAAAAAAAATCCTGTCTTCAAATCTGTTTTTTTTTTCATTATCTTATGCAGGCCAGTTAGTTATACGTCAGCCTGAACACCTAATTTCAGCCAATCATATATCAACCGTCATCTGTCAATCTCATTTTTTTGGTCATAGCATTTTGATTCATATGTCGCAGCTAATATACGCAAAGGTTGAAATAAGAAATAAGAATCATTCCCTTTCCCATTGAGTTCCGTCCCAGTGTTCACGGGGATGGACGTCTGTGTTTTCGGCAGGCGTAGAGCTAACAGAACTGGCAGCGTTGCGAGGCAAGGGCTCAAACATGTACGGCTGTAAGCCTTCTATACCAAACCAAGCTTCTGCCGCCCTGGCGTCCTCTTCCACAACATCTTTGTTCCCGCTTTCCTCCTCTAAATAAAACATGTATGAGGGAGGAGACTCATCCAGGACCTCCGACACTAAACTCTCCTCCTCTTGCATGTTTCTTCTGTCCATAGCGTTCCTTGACAGTGTCGTTTCTAAGTCAACAATTTAGTGCTACTTGGCCCCAATAAAATTTCCCATTGGGAACCTACTAACACTAAGTTGCTAACTGTTAGCAAGATGCTTCTGACAAAACTGCCACAACCAAACTTGCTTGCGAACCTTCCGCCACAACATTCCCGCCCCCTTGTTAAACGACCTATCCAATTCACTTTATTCACTCATGTTAAGTTGGGCATCACTCGAGAGAATTCGGAAATGCAACGGTTGGAACGGATTATTAGTAACAGGAGGTGAAATGCAGCTCCAGACGAGCTGAGCGTGTTGATGTCATCAGTACGTTTCTTTTCTAATTGACCTATATTTATGTTGCGTGCTCTCGTTCTCCCCAAGTCCATACTTTTCTGTGTTCTTCTCGAGAACATACTTGGTGAGGACAGGAGTACGTACTTGCGTTCTCGTGAATTGATAAATGTCCTTTGACTTTGTCTAAGTCTAACAGCCTAAACCCCAGAATTTGTTGCTCATGGTCCCAGAGAGGCAGTCAATAGGATTCAAGCCCCGCTCCAACCTACAGGCCAATGCTCCAGAAATTCATAAGCCTTTTGGATCATTTCATGCTCCTAAATTTGAAAGAGTGGTTTGGGATGGCCTCTCTCTGTTGCGCCATGACTGTGCACTAGTGAGGTAATGCCACTTTGGTCTGGGGAAAAAATTGTGGTTTTTGCAGGTGGTTTTCACACATATTCTGATCGGTCAAGTATTGTTAAAATAAAAGCAAAACTCCTAAATATTTTGCAAACCATTTCAATAAGAGCTGCAGCCGATATCAACATCAGCTGAATCCTGTAGAAAAGAAACAAATATGTAGAACCCAAAGAGGCAAAATAAGAGTGGAAAATGAGCAAACGTCAGCAGCCTGACTGGAGGAACATTGATCAGACTAGATGACTGAATTGCAGTTGTCTGCATCTGTAAAAAGTTGTCTGAGGAATAAATCCATTCAGTATATCTAAGGATAGATTTATAGAAAGGTGTAAGGTGAAGTGATACAGTAACACACCGCTGGCGCCAATGTTATGCCGGAGAGAGAGAGGCTTTTGCTTTCCTGCGGTTCGACATGATGGATCGTTGTGGGGTCAAATTCACATTGAACGGGTAGACACATATTTTCTTTTTTTTTCTCCTCCTGCTGCCGAAGCATTGAGTTCTCCCTGGGAAGCAGACAGAAGGGGAGAAGTAGAATAAAATGAGAACAAAGAGGAACAAAGTGAAAAAGTGGCTGAGAAGAAGAGATAAAAGCTGCTGACAAGGACAAAAAAAACCCAAAGTGAATGTGATATTAAAGCTTGACTTCACCCAAACCTGGATAAGAGCAGGTCATCTTTAGCCTGACTTGGCCACACTGTCCATCTGTACTGTAGAGGAATATCACTCCAGTTGGCGAGGGACACCGTCTCCGAGCTGACCAGGGAAATATAAGTCTTCTTCAGCTCTACAGGATCCGGTTCAAAACACATGTGCAGTTCCTCACAAGTTCCAAACAAACCGATGTGAACAATTTCACCTGAGAAACAGAATGAAAAGAGAAGCAACCATGTGTTAGCGCCAGAGCTACCTTCCTTTTAAAAAGTACTTTTTAAAATATGATGGAGACTGTAAGATCAGTGATAAATATGAGCCCATCACAGGGCTTTGACTTGAACTAAAAAACTTGGAGCAGTAACATGTTTGGGACATTTTTACTGACAATGTTTAAACTTTAGAAAACCTCTGCAGGCGCACTGACTTCTTTTGAAGAAGACAGATAATTAATTATTGAATAATAATAACTGAACTTTATTGATCTCACATTGGAGAAATTCACTCTGCATTTAACCCATCCCCTTAGGGAGCAGTGGGCTTGCATCTGATTCACATTTAAATATGAAATATTGCTTTGTGATATTTTTCTGTCACCAAGCTTAAATTCAAAAGGCAACACATTCTCATTCCCAACGAGATCCACACTGAGGCCATTTCTCAATTCACAAGAACGCGAGTACAGACTTATGTCCTCGCCAAAAATGTTCTTGAGAAGAACACAGCAAAGTGTGGACTCTGGGAGAACGGAAGCACGAAACATAAACATGGGTCAATTGGAACAGAAGCTTACTGTTGACATCACCACATGATCAGCTCACGTAGAGCTGCATTTTAACCTGTTATTAATATTCTCTAGATAGTAATAAATTCTTAATTTTTTCATTTAGAGGGGGAATAATAGTTAACACAGTCAGATAAACACAAATCAAATGAACATTTAACCAAATAAAACAAAGAAATTGCGATGAGAGCCAGCGGTACTTCACCCACGTTATGCAGAGAGAGGGCTGCTGCAGACGGGCTAATGTTAGCCCTGGATGCGGTTATCCTTGGAGGTCCGCTGGTTACTGAGGTCCTCTCAACATCGGAACTTTTTTTTTAATTACGCATTAAATTGGTAAATGGTCCATATAGTGACACTTAAAAGTATAAAGTTATTACCTTAAATGATCTTAAAACGTACTTTTATTGAACAACAGCAACAGATAACAGAACATTTAACTTAATACTCTGAGCTCTGTGAGCGCTAACATGTAAGCTGCCGCTGTTGCAGTGCATGCTGGGACAGCTGTCACTCTTAAGAATTGACAAGTGTGCTCTAATGCAGGCTGGGTAAAGAGGGAGTTGCGAGAACAACATCCGGATACTTTGTCCATTCTCTGCCTTCTTGTTCTTGTGAATTGGAACAATACTAGTGCTGAGGTTGACAAGTTTCACAAGTACACGAGCACATGAGAACGCACAAATGCACATTGAGAAACGACCTGACGCTTGGTCAAAGCAGCCTGCGAATGGCTCTGACCAAGTGTCATTATATGACACTTGCGGACATTGTATCACATTACCCTGTTTCTTTGGGTCTAGTGGTTAGGATTAGGGTAAGGGATGGGTTAGTGGCAAGTTTTTACTTCACAGTTCAAGAAAATTTTTTCAGAAGTTCCTGCTACAGCCTCTCATGAACCATGCGCATGAGTTACTGAGGAGAGGGGTATCCCTAGGGATATTATCAGGCATCAATATGTGACGATTTGGGAATGAGAATACTTCGCAAAAGGATTTCTACAGAAAAGGTTTTGTAAATGTTACAACAGATTTATACGAGTCTCACCAGTGTCGTAGAGCAGAAGAAGGTCTTCCTGAAAGTCTCCAACAGTCATGGGATGAAAAACCACAGTAACCGGGATGCCTTCTCCAACATCCACCGTACCAGAGGACGGTGTCACTGAGAAAGGACTGAAGATTCTTTATCATTATTATAATGAACTAGGTTTACATCTGCAGTGTAGAAAGTATCTTAGAAGAAATGAGGCCATGTTTTACTGGCCCTTACCTTTGTGTGCGTAGCTTGAACTTAGCCTTACGCTTCCCTATATTGGAAACAAAGTGGTTTTTTTCAGTGGATGCTTTCACTACACAATTAGGCAAACGAATCTCATCTTTAAAGTCCAGAATGGCTCGTGGTCCGATGGCACGGACAGGAATCTCAAAACGTTCACTTGAAGTCACACAAACAAGTCGGAGGCTGTAGTCCTGAATTGAGACAAACGCACAAAGTTAAAAAGACAAAGCAGCGCTAAGCACTGAAAAAGTTATAGAAAACAGTCGGCTATCAAGAGTTTTCTTTTTCCTTGTTAAATATATATTTAGGTAAATTCTTAAACCCTCTAATAAGATCTTTAAAGACTGACATAGAGCTGATATCATTAACTTTAAAGATCTTTATTTGTACAAAAAACTAGAATTTTCTTGGCAGCCTTTTACCACATTCTTCTTGCAACTTTATCAAATAAAGCAGTTGGGGAGAAAAAAAACAACTTCCTAACACAATTTTGTCTGTGTTTTTGTTTTGTCACACGTACATGTTTGATATGAACCTATTCAAACTGACTTGACTCACTTGGAATATTAGCTCGCCTAATCTCCTTTAAAATAAATTTGTCAGTTCAGAGATGAAACAGAAAGTCAAACATTGTAGTTGTCTACTGTTGTCTTCTTTTAAGTAGTGTTGCACCAATACTGATACCAGTATCAGGCGGGGCCCCGATGCAGCACTAAAATGGTGGTATCGGCGAGTACCAACAAATAGGGCACCGATACCATTTTGAGAGCCAAAAGTTTATTCAACTATTGTCACCCATTCCAGGTAGGCAATAAAAAGTTCTACTGGATTCACTTTGTATTAGTCTTTTTCCTGCTTCACAAAGGTAGGCAGCAGCCTGACAAAGCCATGTTGGCAATTATTTTACATCCTAGTACCGTAGTATGCGGTTCTGCATATAAACACACACACATCAAATTCAAACAGATGGTAAAATAGCATCGGCGCAACACTAAGGGTAGGCTTAAAACTTTCCTTTTTGATAAAGCCTATTGTTAGAGTGGTTCAGGTTATCTCTATAGTTATGATGCTATAGGCTTAGACTGCTGGAGGACAGAGGGACCCCTTTTCATCATTCTCATTCATTCTATCTCTATTCTCCCACTCTGCAGAATCTGTTAGTTCAATCTCTAACGTTATACTCTCTCTACTTTTTTCTCATAGGAGCTTCATCTGATCTGTTCCTGTTTAGCTGTGACTCCTTTCTGGAGAGAAATATCAGCTGTGCTGCTGCCATCAACACCTTTGTTTATAGATGCTCGAGGTCGGTCTTTTTTTTTTTTTAGAGTAGTCCTTTTTCTCTGACTGTGACTGGCTGGATGTGCTCTCTTCATCCTCTGACATGGGAGCTGGCTCGGAGCTCGTCTGCCTGGCTGTGTTTCCTGGACGGGACCGGACTGGAGCTGGTTGACAGTGGCCTTTTGTATCTCTCTTCTTCCTGTATGTCTGCTTCTGTCTCCTTGAACCCCAGTCGGCCTCAGCAGATGGCCTCTCACACTGAGCCTTGTTCTGCGTGAGGTTTCTTCCTGTTAAAAGTTTTTCAGTTTTTCCTCTCCTCTGTCGCTACAAGCATGCCTAGTGTAAGGGATTGCCTTTGAGTCAATGAGTCGATGCAATTAACTTGTTTGTCTTAGATAAAAACTTTTAATCAATTTAACTGTAAAGTTCCTTAAGATGACATGTGTTGTGAATTGGCGCTTTATACGAAAATAAACTAAATTGAATTGAAGTGAAATTGTAGTGATTGTTAGATGATTCAGAGCTGCCTTGCTGCTCCAGGAGGGGATCATGAAAGAGAGCAGGCAGCTGTGAGTTTGTCACTAGGAGCTCAGGACTTTTGCGGTTATGAACAGCTACAATAAAAAGCAACGTTATTTGGGGCTTTATCAAAATCTGGCTTGAAATGCAGCAGCCTTACCACTGAAAACATGGGCACACATAATCTAAATAAATGGCCAATTGGATGAAAATGTGTCATGGAAAAATGCTGATGGATTCCACAGGATGGGACTGAAACTCTAACCTGAATGGTAGTGGTGGTTTAAGTCAAATGACAATAGGATCGCTATGTTTAGATGACATTTTTAGTCCGATCAGCCATTGATTTCTAAAAAAACAAAAAATTATCTATTAATTTTTTTAGCTGAATACATTACAATCTGATTGTGAAATATTGTGCATGTAAACACAGCCAGTGTGTTTAAACGAAAACTGTTGAGTTAAAATTCTTCCAGTTATTTCCACAACGCTTCTTGTCAACTATTGCTTGTTGGCGTCCCAGAAGGTGGTCCAGTTATTATGTTTGAATGTGCAAATAATTTGTAGCTTGATGGTCTGAAACTATTTGAATGAAAAGGTAAACACTTTTACAGCAGCGTTGCACTACTGCAGCTAGCTCAGATAGAATTTCTTTAATCTCATTCATCCAACCTGGAAGGGCTTCATATAATAAGTGGATATTTTATGAATTAGTACAATCCATTCTTTACGCCATAGCCTCTGGATTTGGAGCAAGCAGTTTAGTGTTGTTATGAGATAAGCTGAGGCTTCGATGCGTGTGTACAGTAATAGAGGGGGCGTTTCCCCGGACCGCTTGTCGAGGCATGATTCATTTAGGGGCGGGGCCAAAATTTATGACGTTCGAAGTCTCGCTATGGTAATACCACGTGACCGCTTCTGGAAGTGGTTCAAACTGCGTGAGAACTTTGACAGGCATTTAAACAGCCTCACTACTCAGTCAAGATGTGGGAGTTTATAGGAGAGTTGCTGTTAGTTGGATGGAGTTTGGATAGATTTTAAGAATATATTGGTTGGAAAAACAACCAATCTAGTTGGTTAACACTATTTTGTTAGATTAATCAATGTAATGATCAAAATCTGAGCACGCCACTGGTTACAGTTGTGACATCCATATTAAGTAGTGTTGCTTTCTCAAACACTTTCACTGTCTGCTTAAGCTTATTTCACTAAAATGGCAGAAAAACTGTTTACCTTACATGATTGTTCTCTTCTAAGACATTTTAGACTCAAAAAAATAATTAACAATTAAATAATTAACAATTTAATTAACAATAATTAACAATTTTAAAGAAACTTAAATGGGAAAAAAAAGAAACAAGAAAAACAATGATAGATTACAGATTATATTACAAAATGTAGTTATGCACATCACCAGTAGGTGGTGACATCTTCACATGAAGCTTCATGAACTGTTGAGATCGTTGAAACAATTTGCCAAAACAGTTCAATGCCTCATGAGGCTTCAGCTCACCATCACTAAACCAGGTGTTTCGTTTTCTTTTATACACTGGAAAAAATCGAAATCTAGATAAGTCATTTTTTCTTTAAATAAGTGCATTTGTTCTTGAATTGAGGAGGTAAAAGAGACTATTTTGCCAATGGAACAAGACAATTTAGATTTAAAATAAGAAAACACAATTACATTGTTTTATTTCAAGTGCATATTATCTAATTGTCTTATTTTAAGAGTAAAAATACTCATTCCATTGGCAAACTATCTCATTTACCTACTTAAAAGTAAGGATAAATGCACTTAATTTAAGAAATTCTTACTTATTTCTAGATTGTTTTTGCAGTGTAGTCAATTATTTGCAATTTTCAAAATAGTTTTAAATTCTAAAATGCTAAGCAGCTAAGAGCAGCTACAAAGCTACATCATTTGTGAGTTAGGATTATGTCTAATCTAGTCTAGATTTGTGTCTAAATTCAAATGCATCCTCAGAGGACATTATTGCTCTTCATAGGTAAAACTTCCTGATTTAAAAACTGTTGCAATGAATACTGTTGAGAACAGTACCTTGTTCTCCTGAGGGGTGAAGAAAACCATAAAGCTGGCAGTCAATCCTGGTGCTACTTTGGCTCTTCCATTTCCTGGACCCTTCACGTTAAAATATTCTGAACTCTCCGGCACCACTGTCACAGCATGGGCCTCCTTAAACAAAATATACATCATTTACAGTGAAAACAAGGAAAGTTCATGGGCAACTGTTTATGCTAGGTCATTACATCCGTTTCCATCTGGAATCACCTTTTCCAGTCATTATCTGCGCACAACATTATTCCAATATGAATCAAACAGCAATACATTTGGTTCTGTTTAGAAGCCTGGAGGGGTCTTTTTATCCCTCGATCAGAAAATCTGTTCTGATTGACAAACTGGCCCCGATGTCGGTTGCTTATTGCTCAGCTTTCCATGTGAACAAACCTTGTCATTGTTGAGAAGAAGCAGAGGCAGACTGTAGGTGTGTGAGGGAACAAAGTTCTGGAAAACCAGTTCTGATGGATAAGGCTGGAAAATCGGCTGGCCTGTTTTTAACAGCTGAAAAATATACAAACAGAGGTTAATTTCCCAATGAATGATTTACATCTTTATATTTGTTTTCCTACTGAGCCAAACCCTTTACAGCTTTAGCTCCATATTTCACTGGGAATGGTTAGAATACCAAGACTGAATTACAGAATAATAAACTATATTTAATAAAATACTGAAAAAACTGTCATTTCATCTATTTATCTGTTAGGATTATTCTTTATAGTGTTTTATTAACCAAAAAGTTAAGCTTTATAAGAGTCTACATCACTTCTTTGCCTGTCTGTCACTGTGCTAACTCTAACCTTTAGAACTGATTTCATCTAAAGGAATGATTTACTAACATTTACCTTGTGCTGTGGGCTGCTGTTTTCTATCCTCTCCAGCCTGAGGGGCAGGTGAACCTCTGTGGTGTTAATCAGGCGCTCCTGTGTGGACTGCAGCATTTCCTGAGTGTAAACTGTTGGAGTCATCTGCAAACACATCACAGGGTCTGTTATCCTGTCACCTGCCTCTATGATGTCTGTCAAACCATGCAATCAGAGGTGGATTTAGGAAATTTAGGACCGTAGGCAAAGACAGGAGGGGGCCCTCTGATTTGAGAAGACAACGCATAAATCAGACCCATTATACAGATACAGACATTTTAATAAAATAGACATACATTATTATTTTATGATATATTTGTTTTCCTCTCTATGTTTTGTACTCAGCTGACTTTTCATGCTGTCTCAAAAGGAATGAAAGATTTTTTTCAAGCACTAAGCTCACTGAGCCGATTGCTCCTTCCTGCGTTTCCAAAAAAATAAAAAGCGACGGAGAAATTAAATAACCCAGTCCTTCTTTTCACTGTAGACCAGCCATGATCTGCTGCTTAACTGTTCTCTGTTTTTCATTTGGATGGAATCATAGCTGCATGGATCATGAAAGCAGACAAGATAGAGGAGAGCAGGAGGCGGGGTTACCAATCTAACAATCTTCACTGCTTTTATATGTTGCCGCCAAAGAGTTTGCTGCTGTCTGTTTTGACCTTTCTGAACATGTGCAGCAAATGGACTGATCCAATGTGGTGGAGAATGAAGGGGGGCTGAGACACACTTAAAGGAATAGTACACCCAAAACATGATTAGCCTTCATTTTCTACTCACCCCCATGCTGAAC